GTGAACTATGAAGAAAGATGAAAATGACGATTGTTATTTTTGGGATGAAAATGGTAGAAGGTGGGAACAAAGAAGATGAAGTGGGAAGGGGTGAAATGAGTACAATGAGAGAGAGAGAAAATTGCATTTTTTAAAATATTATTTATTTTTAAATATTTAATTTCTGATGTGTCATTAGAATAATAATAATAATAATAATAATGATGTGTCATTAAAAAATGACGTGGTATTTCATGTGTAAAATGAGTGTATTACACGCACACACATCGAATGAGAAAGGGGTCTAAAATATTGTATTTGAAAGAGCTTAAGGGTTTAGTTGGCAAAGTCGTAAGTACAAGAATCCAACTTACAAATCGAGTCAAGTACAAGGACCTCTCAGGCCATTCCGCCTTAATAGTTTTACAACTTATTGAGTTTTTTTTGTTTTTGAAAAGACATACAGTATAAAAAGTTAAAATCGCACGTCAAAACAAAACTCCAACTTCGTCTCATAATTTCATATCATGATTTCAAATTATGATTTCATACTGCATGGTCAAACGGATCCTTACACTTCTACTAAGCACTATGTGTGGCACTTGACAACTTACTCATGGATCTTTCACGATCTTGTAAGTTCAAGTAAGTTTTTCCAAAGTAGATCGCTAAGAGAATGAAGAAACACACAAGAGAATTTCAATTCACATGGTGATTTAACGTAAATTGATATGTGATAAGAATGTAGGTCATGTTGTTTTAATTCCTAAAGATGCTTAAATCACTTGAATTTGAATTTGAATTTGGTCATAGCTTTGGAAATAAAGATTCTTTATAGACTCCAATTGACCTAAAATTTGGTAAGTTCATTGTAAACGGCCTAGTAAGAAGTACACATTGTTATGTGGTAATATTTTTTTGAGGTCATTAAAATGATTTTAAAGTTGTTCTATGGAATTAAAATATGATTTAGAATGAATGTCATCCTTTATATCTATTTTATTTATGTTATATGCGGTACATGATTACACGTGATGAGTTAACATGAATTGATATATATATGATAAGGATATAGAATTAATTATTTTTCTTTAAATCGTTTGAATCTGAATTTGGTCATAGCTTTGGAGATAAATATTATTTTAGAACTCTAATTGATCTGAAATTCAGTAGGTTCATTAGAAACGATCAAATTTAAAATACTCATTGTTATGAAGTGATTTGGCAATTTGAGGTCGTTTAGATAATGATTTTAGATATTTCTTTGTATCTTAAAAATTAATTTTAATGAAAATTACTCGACTATGATATAGTGGTGATAGACATTGTTCTTTATGGTCTTCATGACTAAATTTTAGTGAAGTATTAAGTTCGTGTGTTGGCTTTAGACCTTCCTCCATATCAGATGAAATTAATACGAGTCACTAGATTTAATCTGAGCTCTAGTTTTGATAATCTGTATTGACTTTCCCTATCTAAGTAATATATGATTGAATCAATAGATCTAGGGATAATGAAATTCACTTGGCTTAAATTAACATATACTCTCCATCTGAGTTAGCTTTTGTTTTGAATTTTTTGGAGTGAATATTTGACACCACATATGTATGTTGTATGAGTAGTTATTTTTCATCAAAATTATCACTCTCTGAGCCTACACCTCGGACGTGGCTGGCACTCGAGAACCATTGCTGGCCCCAAGCGGACCTTTGGCCTGACTTACTTACTCTGCGGAAGACTCTAAGTATTATTACCATGATCAAATGCACTTACTCAATTGTTAAATAAAATAACTTAGAATGTTTAAAAGTCAACATTTAACTTGGCCAAAATGGCAACTCAAGTCTTAACATATGAAATGATAATGTAAAGACAACTGAACTACTAACTGTCTATGAAGCCTCTAAAACAAAGAGGGATGTCGGGACAAGACCCTCAATCATCCTAACAATGAATTACTGAAAGCAAAGCAAAAAGAGTCCTCCGAAATGCAAGAAGGCTCACCAACTGACTCTGAGTGCTTAACTGGATCAACGAGGCGCTGGGTGATGATCCTGGTTACCTGCATCTGCTTAATTAGAAGATGCAGGCCAACTGGCATCAGTACATTGAATGTACGAGTATGCGAGTTGGAATGCTAAACACAACATAGGCTTGAAAAGAATCTGAAAGGAACGCTTACCTTGGCATTACTCAACTCATGAATAACTTAACTCATTATAAAGCAATAAAGCATATGCAATATATAGAAAGCTTTTAAAATAATAGAAACAACTTAGTTCGTTAAAGAAAATGCAATAACAAACTCAACTTTACTCATATAATAAAAGTAAGTTTAGGTGCCCAATGCATAGGGAAAAGGCCAAACGAGCCCTGACTTAAAAGTTGTCGGGGGTCACCGACGGACCGTGGATGGACCTACAGTCCATTCTAGTCAACCGTCATTCGACGTTTGGGGCTGAAAACTGGGGGTCTGACCCACGGCCCTAGACCACGGTTCGTAGGTCCTGGCGTAGGTCATGACTTAGCTGGATTTTCTGGGGTTCTGGGGAGGGAGTTGCAGGTGGCGAACCACGGGCCCCACCTACGGTCAGTGGGTGGTCCCCGTTGACAGCACCTGCAACTTTTGATTTTTTGCATTCTGGTCTTTCTAGCATATGGGGTGTTACACCATATCCCTTGGTTCGTTCAAGCTATTAAATGAGGGTTGGTAGCCTCCAATATATGTTGTATACTTTCTTTTTCCATTCGTTACCCCTTGATCTGACAAGTAGGAATAAGGTGAGTTCTAACGTAGGCCTTCGTTAAAAAGTAAGCAAAGTGAAGAGAAAAACAATACATGCGTGAACACTATTCAAGAATTACTAGTTATTCGATCTACTTTAATTTGTTAATTTTTCATGGTTCCCACAACCCTAGTTGTGAAATTAGCTACTCATGCTTTGGTGATAAAAATTCATATTAATTTGTTTAATATAGAACATGAACTTACACTTAAAATAGTTAGATTTTGAAATCTTGAATTGAAGTTGCAAAGTAACGACAAATATCAATGCTATAATATAAACCAAAGGATTCAAGAATTAAATGTAAAAGTGATTCACAAGTTAATTCTCAACAACAAAAATCTGAACCCTCAAAAATAAATATAAGAAGAGTATTTATAAACATCGAATTCTAAATAAAATAAACTAGGGAAACTAATGAAAAAATGGATTCGGCAGCAATTCCTACGACCCACTACCTACAGACTGTAGGTCCTCCTAAGGGTCTTGGAGTCCATCCGTGGAAGCTATCTTCAAATCACATCCTTAGAATCTTTTCTAAGGACATGACCTATGGTCTGTAGACCATTGTACGGTCCGTTCTTCTCACTCGTAGTCCAAGTACTGGAACTCAATTCTCTGATGTCTTCTACGGGCCTAGACCTACGACTCGTAGAAAGTCTTACGGCTTGTGCTCTTCTCTCATTGCTCCACACTTGTCTTCAAAATATGTTGATCCTTTCAACGAGTTCTCCTTATGGTTTGTAGAAGTTTCTACGGCTCCTACGTTGACTTGTTGAATCCCAAAAATAGTTGCTAACACTGTATCTTAGATCTCCGCTGCCAAATCCTATTTTCCTACAAAAATAAGACAAAATACCATCAAATCTACTAACAGATGCTCAAAAGACATGCAAAACTTCAAATTTAAAGCATTACAAGTACCGTATCTGTGGTACATCACCTTACTGCGGTACGGACAGATTGAAAACATCAAAGAGTCTAGTGGTTGTTTTATCATGTCTCTTGGTAATTAATATCCTTTTATGTAGTTTATCTATGCATCTATTGAAACACAAAAACATTAGGAGATTGGAGGGTTGTAGAGCATTATCTTGAAAATAGTAAGATTTGGCTCTTAAAAAGTTAGGTTAATCAATTACTTAAGCTTTATGGACAAATTAATCATGGTTTTATTGGTGTAGGTTTCTTAAGGATACACAAAACTCGATTTGAGCCAGGATTAACTTTTAGAATTAACGAGGACATGTCCTTGAGTTTTGACCCTCTATTTTGTACATGTTCCCAGTGCCCTATATTCTTGCTTCAATATTACTGTGATTGATGTGCTTTTTATGTGCAAGAAAGATATTTTGATCTTACCTATTGGCAAAGAAAACTATATCCTTTTGAAGACAAAGTATATTCTATGCGAGTAATATTCTGCATTCACTTTGTTATCTGTCTCGATAAGCATATGTGGTTTGATCATATTTCTTTGCAGTACCAGAAATTCCACAATCTGGGATGCCATCAGGTCATGACGTGCATCACTACTTAGAAAGGAATGATGATCATGAAGGAGCTCAAGTAGTGGACACACAATCAATTGGATTAGCAGATGATCGTGGTGTAGCTCGAGTAATGGACACACAGGCAATCGAATCAGCATATGATTCTTATCTCCAGAGTTTGGTAATCACTGAAACTGACACTGCTCCTACATTTTGTCGTGGGCCAGAGCTAGCTAGAGCAGGTGGTGGTGGTATACCTTCCCTTCATGTTCGTGATCCCCTTCCATCAGCTCGTGGGCCAGAGCTAGCACAAAATGGAAGGCGAAGGCCTCGTGAAACACTACCTCTCCCTCCTGGTGCTTCTAACACCCTCTACATAAAGGGACTTCCTTCAGACAGCTCAAGAAGAGAAGTAGCTCGTATCCTTTGAGATGTCATTTACCGAATTATTATTAATTTCTGATTACATCTGTTGCTTGTTCCCTAACTACACTTAAAAGATATTTTTTGTCATTTTGTGGGCTACAAAGAAGTCAGACTTGTTAGAAGGGACTCAAAACATGTAAGTTGATGTTTATGCCTTTTCTATTAGTATAGTATTTATCTACTAGGTGATGTTTTGATAAAAAAAAACTTCATTTTGTAGCATGCCGGAGATCCTCTTATCCTTGGCTTTGTGGATTTCGTAGATCCAGCGTGTGCATCTACTGCCTTGAGTGCATTGCAAGATGATCTGATCTATTTTGCAACTTCCGTTTGTGACTTGTTACTCTCTAGATGCTGCTATCATCTTTTGGAATAATCTTACAAGTGATGGTCTCTATTATTGAATTTTGCCAGGTTACAAAATTGATGAACATGACCATGATTTTGCCTACTTGCGGTTGCAGTTCTCCAAGTTTCCAGGTCCGAGGTTTAGTGGCTCGGGAAGTACTCGTGGGAAGCGATAAATAACATCCACCCGCTTCTATCTGAATTTAGTTATGTATTATGTACTGTTACTGGAAAATGCAATTATACAGTTGGCTCAACAGTGGGAGCTAGCTTTGGTTACGGTAATATGCATGCTATTGCTTAGTTTCCGCTTCAACATGCCTTAGTTGTCTGAAGAAATGTTTCTAACTTTATTTCAAACAGTGGATTTTTTGTGTGGCTTTGTTACTGTATTTACTATTTGATTTGATCATGTATGGCCTTAGCTAGGCTTAGAATAGTGTTTTATATTGACTTGAATTATTGGAGCCGCTTGAGCTTAGTTTAGCCCCCAAAGTCATTTCAGACGACTTAGCTCTCTGTAGAATAGTGTAGAACACTTGGGTCTGATAGAATAATGTTTATATCAGGTGTTAACTCAGCCCTGGTTACCTTCTATATATTTCTCCCTCTTTTTGCTACCCCTTGGTTTACAACTGAGATATCGGATTTTGCTTGATGACTTGGAACTAGAGTTAGTTCGGCTTGGGGTACTGTACTGATTACCGGGGAGCCGGAATTGTTCCACGGTTGTTTGGTGAGGAAGATTTGAAATGGGATCCTTCAACAACTATTATAGTCATAGATTCTAGGTTTGGGCATCTGATCTACAACAGCAATCCATGAGTCGAGCTCTTTTATCCTCCACGAAGATGATATATATTGGCTAGACCTTATTAGTCACTTAGAGGCTTATCTGTTCTTCGAGGTCAAGGCTACACACTCCCTGGTACGGAAGGCAATGGGGCGGAGCGGATAGGATGCGGGGAAGGGTGGGTTTGAGGCTATGCGGGGAGGGTTTCAGGTTGTGTTGGGTGGGTTGAAGTGGATTTTTTTAAAATTAATATGGGGTGGGGCGGGCTGCAGGTATATGCGATTTTATGCTGATTCAAATTTAATTTTAATTTTTGACATGCTATAAGAGTGATAGACATTATTTATTAAAATAATTTCTTTAAAGTTACTACAAATATTTAAGATAGTAAATAAAAATGGTTCAATAAAAATAAATACAATTTCTTACATGTTTCCTAAGTGGCTTCTAAAGAATAATTTTAAGTCATTTTCTATTAAACTAATACAACTTAATGAAAAAATGAATTTATTTTTATAAATTTTATTTTTAGTAACGAACTTAAGCGGGGCAGGGTGGGGGGGATTGAAAATGAAAAAAATCGATATGCGGGGCGAATTAAAAATTTTGCGGGTTAAGCTCAACCTGCCCCGCCCCCACCCCGCACCGCCACATTGCCATCCCTACTCCCTGGATTGGATGACCTTACTGTCCTTTTGGAGCCTATCAGCGGTTCTGATAATGCTCAAATTATTCTAAAAACCAATTGGAATAGTAAGCAGTTGTTAGCAATAAAAAGAGAATCGGGGCAAATGGGATAGTTTGGGTTGATTTAAGTGGATCTTGTGAGTTGAATCAATAGACTGGTTATTTCTATCTTCTGCAGAGTTGGGGTTAAAATGGGTGAGCATCTAACGAGTCTGTTTGGACGGTTTATTTCAAGTGTTTTTACATCAAAATAGGTTTTAAGCATTTTTAAAGTGTTTGTATAAATTAAAAATGAGCTTATGACCACTTGTTATTAAGCCCAAAAGACAAAAATAAGCCAAAAGTTATATGTTAGAGATCTTAACTTATAATTTTGTAGCAAAACATAATCTTTCGCTATATTATATATTTAGTGGCAATAATGAATATGAATATGTATAACCAACACTTATATAAATGTAGCTAAAGACTTTAGCAACTTTGAATGTAATGATTCAATTGCCACTAAAAGGAAAATCTATTACCACCAAATGTCTTTTTTATCGTATAACACCTTATTATAATGTTCAACATAGGCAGATTCAGCAGGAGGATTTACTTCCAAATTTAAAATCTATACTTATAATAATATCATTTAAGAGTGTAATTAATTAATACTATATAAATTAACATAATTTAATGTCTTCTAGGAACGCAATTTGATGCAATGGAATTAGGAAATTGGTGGCATATTTTTGAAAATAATTATTTTATTATACAATTTTCTTTAATATATTAATATAATAAATTTGATATATTGAAAAATTATTATAGTTAATAATAATTAATAAGGAAAAATTAAATAACAAATTATTTTTTGATTTCTCAGTCAAACAAATAAAAAAATCATTTAGTATAATGACCAAGTGAACAAACCAAGTATTATTTTTATTTTTAGAATTACTCTTTCCCCTCTATTTAAATTGTGTTTAGGAGTGTTCGTGGTTCGATTTGGATCGGTTATGGGTTACAACCAAAACCAAATCAATCTAGTCGATTTTTTAAATATCTAAAACCAAACCAAACGAAAAATATAACCTTCGGTTTGGTTATTGACAGTTTGGTTCGGTTTGGTTCAATTTTTCTAGTTTTTTCAGTTTGAAAGTAATAATTTTTTGAGGACATACGTATCTGGATAGACACAAACACGAAACACCTAGTACATGAGCAATCCACTGAAAAGCTATTGTCGGTTCAATTAAGCAATTAAACAATACTAAATTTATCATTACATGAACAAAGTGATTCAATTAAGAGAAGGTGTAACTATCTTATGAAAGCTAAGGTATGGTAGGTAAAGACTAAAGTAATGAATTTTGATGGACTTGGGCTTATGATTGTAATAGATGGACTAAAATTTAGGGAAAATTAGCTAACTAGTCAAAATCATAAACATAATTATTAAAAACATCTACACTTTAAAATAATTATTAAAAATGTCAATATTTTAACAAATAAATTGTAACCTATATTAGTTTCTAATTTATCTCACATTAAGACCACATTTCAAGCCATCACGTTTTTCTCTCATTATTTTTCAAAAAAAAAATTCTCTCGTCTGTATTAAATTATATGTTTATAAGTATTCTCCTAAAATATATTCTATTTTCACTCCCCTTCAACCCCACTTTCTCTCTCAATTCATTATTTATTACTGCTTCTCTTTCTTTCCAGGTTCTTTCTCCTCTTTTTTTTTTTCAAAATGGAAAAAAATCATACAAAGATATGTATCAGATTATCATTTCATCGGATAACTTCTTATTGGATTTATATTTATTGAGTTAACATCATCACTTTTATGTATTTTTGTATTTCACTCCCCTTCAACCCCACTTTTGTATGTTGTATATCAATTATTTGTACTCATGTAGTTTTATTTTCAACTTTTGATTAAACAAAATAAAAATTGTATTTTAAACTGGATTTTGTATTTCAAAAGTTGTATTTCAAAAATTGTATTTTAAAAGTCATTTCCTAATATATTATTAACTTTTATTTTTAACTTTTAATTTAAACAAAATTTGTATTCTAAACTGATTTGTATTCCAAATTCTTGTGTATTTCAAAAATTGTATTCTAAAAATTATTTTCTAACTGTTGAGCAAATTTGTATTCCGATCAAATTTGTATTACAATCATTCAACATATAAAATCACAATATTTTAATATAGAATAGGGATTTCATTATCAAAATTGTATTCTAATCATTCAATACATAATATCATCAAATTTGTATTCCAAACTAATTTATATTCTGATTATTCAATATACAATATCACATCAATAAATTTGTATCTAAATTCAATTTCAAAAATCTACTCTCAACCTGCGTCACCACTAATTTTATATACAGTTTATTTTCAATTTGAATTTTAAAAAAAACAGCATGTTTGTTGTCCCCAATCACACATCAATCATTTACCCAAAATAATAAATTAATCATAAACAATAGCAATAAATCATTCCAAAGTTTGAAAGAATGGACCTTTAATAGTCAATTTCAATATATTCAACTCTGCGTCGAGTTAAAGCAGGGTAGCTTATAAAAAATCTCAAACGGAGTTCAAAAATTGAGTTAGAGTTACAAATGGAAATCGATAAAACGTAAACCACAAGGAGATGGGTTCTTTGGTTTCAAAGAAATGAACCAATGGTAGTTCAATTATTTCAATATTTCCTTTCCGCACAGAAAAAAATCCGAATGAAATTTGAGAAACAATAGGGAGGAAATTCGATATTGGACATTAGAGAAACAATGAAAGTGGAATCACTGTAGTTTTTTTTTTTTTTTTTGAAATTTTAATGGATGAAAATTCAAGTGATATGTTCCTTTTTTAAAATGTTCTCTCCCTTAATTTTCTCTATTCTGTTATTGAATAATTGTATTCTTTCAAATTAAACAAATTAAAAATACATAATTAGATATATAACAAACTCAAATATTGACATTTTTAATAAATATTAAAAATGTGGCTAAGGGGTCCTATTAAATGTTAAAATAATTGACATTTTGAAAAATTTCCCTAAAATTTAAGTGTTAGGCTTGAGAAAATGGTAAAGTTAAAGACTTAAGCTACTTAAAATTTAACAAAATATTTATATTTTATTTATGAATGATATATAAATAATTATAAAATTTATATATATAATTTATCGGTTCGGTTTGGTTGTTTTTATAGTTATTTTTTAGTAAAACCAAACCTAACCAAATCAAATCAAATATCGATTTTTTTAATCGATTTGATTCGGATTGCGGTTCGATTTGGTTTTTTAACCATAACCATGAACAACCGTAATTTTGTTAAACTGATTTTGGAAGACTTCCCTCAAGACTCAATTAAAGCATTAATATTACAACTTAATAATATACTATAATAATTAAGAAAAAAAATGCCGTAAAAAAACTTTGCCTTCTTTATAAAAAAAGACATTATTCCGAATATTTTTTTGGTTAAATATTAAAATGATTTTAAAAAAACAAAATATTGAGATCTTAACTGGAAAAACTTAATGTATAATTAATTATTTTTCCTACTATTTTCTTATTATTAATAATAAAGTATTATGAGTAAGTGTAACTCAAAATAAATTATAGATATTAAATTTTTCCTACTATTTTCTTATTATTAATAATAAAGTATTATGAGTAAGTGTAAC